CCTGTCCTGCAGGTTTTAGAGGTTTCTCTGCTTCAGCACAGCTGGTTATATATATAAAAAAGCCTGTTAATCAGCTTTCAATTAAAATCAGCTGTGCTGGAGCAAGGAAACCTCTAAAACCTGCAGGACAGGGGGCCTTGAGGACCGAGTTTGGGAATGCCTGGAAGAGATTGATTGACTTCTGACCAGCAGGTGGCGGTATTGGCCCTTCCAGGCTGTTTGCAAACCGCCACGCGCCTCCAAAGAAGAAACTAAAACCCACGAAGAAGAAATCTTTGTTCTGGCGGTTGTAGGTAAAACCGAAGCGGACACGTTTTGACTAGTTTGGTGAAGAAAACTTGTCCAGCCTATATTCTCGGTTTATTTTCGTCATGGTGAAGTTATCTGCGGAGCTGATAGAGCAGGCTGCTCAGTACACCAACCCGGTGAGGGACCGGGAGCTGGATCTACGAGGTAACTTCCACCGGTTCCTCCACAGCAGCACCGGGCCTCGCTGCTTTCAGCTGCTCTCATTCTGCCAACATTTCTGTAGCTGGAGCTCAGCTCAACACACCGACACCTGTCTCCACACCTTTAACACCACAGCTTTACTTTACGGCAAAGGTTTCCTCCTTAATACTGTTGGCTAATCTGTGGAAGCTAGCCTGCTAGCGCTAGCTTAATAGGAAGTCAGAGTTCAGCTAGAAGCAGGAGAATATCTGGAGTTTCCTCCTTCGTTTGAGTGATTTACCCAAAAGCTGGAGGTCACATGTGTTTCTGTGAAGAAATAAACCAATTAGACACTTAAACGCTGTGTTTTATTTCTGGTAAGGTGACCAGATTACTGCAATCTAATCTGGAGACATTTCCAGCTCACTGATAATTTAATGAAAATTAAAATAGGAATCAGGGACAGTGATGTTTTCATCCATTATTAAAATATTTATTAATAATATTAAAAAATGAAGTGTGAAATCCAGCAATGTGCCTCTTCCATTTAAGATAAATAAAATTTTTTGTTATTTATTTAACCAAGAAAAAGAGGAATAAAATCCTCTTTTTCAAGGATGTCCTGACCAAGAGGCAGAAAAGTTACTTAATAAACAAAGACACATTAAATTAAAATACAGGTACATTAAAATACAACGTATCACTCAAAACAATGACAGATAATTGAGGCAGCTTCAAATTCTTTCACTTTCAACTTAAAAGCATTTAAAGATTTAGAAAAAGAGAGAGGTGAGCCAAAAAGCAAAGCTCTCGATTTACCAGTGGATCTACGTTCCTGCCCTCATCTATGGTCAGGAACAGCTTTTGGGTCATGACTGATAGAACAAGGTCCCGGATACAAGCGGCTGAAATGAGTTTTCTCCGTAATGTGTCTGGGCTCTCCCTTAGAGGGTGAGGAGCTCAGTCATCCGGGGAGGACTCAGAGTAGAGCCGCTGCTCCTCCACATTGAGAGGAGCCATTTGAGGTGGCTGGGGCATCTGATTAGGATGCCTTCTGGACGTCTCCCTGGTGAGGTGTTCCAGGCATGTCCCCCCGGGAGGAGGCCCAGGGGGAGACCCGTGACACACGGGAGGGACTATGTTTCCCGGCTGGCCTGGGAGCGCCGTAGGATTCCCCCGGAGGAGCTGGCCCAAGGGGCTGGGGAGAGGTACGTCTGGGCCTCCCTACTGAAGCTGCTACCCCGCGACCCGACCCCGGATACGCGGAAGAAGATGGATGGATGGAAAGATAAAAACTCAGTCAAGTTCCAGTTATTTTGTAAAAATAATTCCACACACAAGGAGCTGCGTAGCTATAGGCTTTCTTCCCCAGTTCACTGCAGGCAAAAGGAACAGTGATTACCAGCTGATCTTTGGATCTCAGGGCATGAGAAGCCATGCTTTCTGTATGAGGTACAAATGTAAGAGGGCAGCAATCCAAGAAAGGCCTTGTAAATAAAAGTGTACCAATGACGTTGCCTCCTCGTAGAGA